CACAAATTCGTGTAGAAGGGAGCTAGAAAGTAAAGGCAAACGGATGGGGGAGGATATGGAGTGAGCTGAATGCAATATCGAAGGATAAACACCCTGGCATGAGTTGATTGAGGGCCTATGCTCCAGTATGGGAATACAAGGCAGAAGAAGATCACCCATAATAACTAGAGCCGTCGTGTGTTTTTTTTTCTCCTCTAAAAAATGACCTTAACCAAGTCTTAAACTGGTACCAGGGAGAAGTCATGGAAAGTAAAGGCGACCGACTTGGTGTTGACCACATAACACCCCGAGTGCCGGATGGTCTATAAAATATAGGTCTAAATCTATATTTCCAGGACACTCGAAGACGCGTAAAAAGGACCTTTTATTTACAATTATGTAATCTTGAAGACAGAGTGCCAATGGGATTTTTTTTTAAAACCCAGGTTTGCTAAACAAAAAACCAAGCAATACATAGACAAAGAACAAAAAAACCAAAATAAAAAACCCAGATTGTTAAAATGCACACAATTTTTAGTTACGAAACGAAACATTTACCACTTTTATATAAGGATATATTTTAAAAAAAAACCCCAGATTTCCCTGAGGCGTTTGAGAAAAACCCAGATCTGGGGGGGGGGGGGGTAACCCAGCATTGGCAGCCCTGAGACAGACACCCCAGTCTTCGGCTTCCCTGTGACAAGAATAATTCGGTCATTACCAAGCAGCTCATGGAAAACTGTTTGATTGTTCGGTACGTCGCATTCATTTCTCAATTTCTTTTTTCCTGTCTTCAGTAACTTTAAGTTAATTAGTTGTGTATCCTTTACATGACATTACGGAACCAACCCCAGCATTTTTTGGCTGTTGTGGTCTTTCTAGGCAAAATTACGTCCAGTAGTTTGCCATTGCTTCCTGGACGGTCGACTTCTCTAAACCATTGTCGAAACCAACGCAAGGCGCTAGGTCCTCAGCTGGGATCGAACCCGGCACCCCATCGTTACGAAGCTCGTTCGTAACCCCTAGCCACAGACGCCGACTCAGTAACATTAACATATTCAAATCCAATTATGATATTGACTCTTCCTGCCGGTTATTTATACAATGGTCTCCCCATTTACATACCACCGGTTGTAGGTCAACTCCATTGATAAGTTAGTTGGACTAGTCTATCGTGGTCGAGGTTATGGGTGTCGCAGTCTGTTGTCTGGCATTTACGATTGTATTTTCGAGAAAGAGACGGCCTGTGACATAGGTTTTGACACTCTCTAGTGCAGTTGTGTGTTACACCAAGTATCTGAATGTTCTAAAGGTGTTAAAAGCTCTGGCATGGTGAAATATTCAACACGCGATATGAGCGCGAGTGCGGAATAGCCCCGTGACCTTGTGTGTAGGTCGGATCGCTCGATGCCGACCTATCAGAGGTAAGGTGAGTAGGTCGTCCAATCAGAAGCGAGCTAGTGTGTAGGGGTGTCTAAATGGGGAGACCAGCGTAAAATTTACCATCCTGCCATATATGCGTAGTTTAACTTACCAAGGTTCACTGATTGTTACTACGAAGTACACAATGTCTAGGATTTAAAGATTTAAAGAAAACAAACAAGCAGTCTGTTTCAAGAGAGATAAAAACAGTCCATTCAACTGAAGTTTACTTCTCAAACGCCACAGTGTTGAAAATTAAGGATCATCACACAGCAGAGGCCCAAGCCCCAGCGTCTAAAGATCAATAATACAAAACAATTGGCAACTTCCCGCGGGCCACACGCTAGGCCTCTGCATGCCGGACTGAGCCCGCTGGCTGCCAGTTGAAGAGACATGCTACTGATTTGAGAATGTTGGTATGAACAGTCAACATTTGTGGACATGTTATAAGAATAAATCGACTCGAGAGCTTGATGACAGCTGAGGAAACTGGTTGGGGTGGGAGGGGAGAGGGGGGAGGGGGGCAAGGGTTGGGTAAATAGATAAATATCGATAAATACCTAGTTGGTTTGGCTGTATGTGAGGCGCTATAGAAGAGCACTGGCCTAATCCGTGCTAGTGATCGTGTGAGCTGGCGAAATGTGACAGCCAACACATTTCTGTGCTCTAGCGGCTAGACGCTCGCCTGCAGATCGGAAGGTCGTGGGTTCGATTCCTGACGGGGGGGGGGGGGGTGGGGTCGGACTTTTTTTCAAAACTGATCTTGGCTCCCAGCCTTGAGTGGGTACCAGGTGCAGTCCTGGGAAGTAAAGGCGGCCAGCGTAATGCTGACCACATCACCCAGCAAGTGCTGAATGGCACATATAAAATATAGATCTAGCCCCGTGTATTCCCGATACGCCTAAAGGCGTAGAAAAATGACCTTTTATTTATTTCGTCAAACAATTCATTAGCAGAACTACAGGGGGGAACCGCCCGATAGTCGACAACCGCATAGCAACTCAATCGGCACCCCCATCAAACAGCACGAACCTAGAGTGAGTCGCCACGACTTGGAGGAAACCACCAATCAGCGAACAGACAAACGGCCATCGAAAGCCAAAACCGACAGGAATCTTCCCTTACCTAGCAAGCTATCTATCTCACTCATTCCTTCGACCTTGCTTTATGTCCTACTCAGCTTTTCAAGCTTTCAATTTTCTCTTAGTTTTTTTGCATAAACCGTGTTACATCCTCACTACTTCTATACCATGTGTGGCCAGAATAAAACTGGATAAAAAATTGAAAAAACAAATAAAAAAAGGGCCCCAAAAAATAAAAACCAAACCAAAAAAATGAAGGCCCAAAAAAAAAAAAAAACGCTTAACGCACTTACACATGTAAGATGCAAAAAATAAAAGCACAAAAAAGATTTTAAGTGGGGCCCTGAAAGGGGCCGTGTGGTTGGAGCTCAGAGACAAGCTTATCGATTTCGATGTGGGGTACAAGGAAACAGCCAAGGAACAATCACGGACAGAGGGCGTAACAGCTCACACAGGCAAAAAGGAAAGGACAAATAGTAAGATCGGTAATCAAGGCACAACCAAACGCCTACAAAAAAGAAAACGACCTAGAGTCAGCACACAAACAAGGACTTGATATAGTCACCGCTCAATCAGAAGCAGACTGAAAGAGTCGAGGAGTTTTGTCATTTTTGTTCTCAACTAACGAACGAACGAACACATATCGGTAGGTTACAGTTAATGTCGAGAGGTGGAGTTAACTTTCACCTTTTATTCATTCGCACTTTCCGTCTTTCCGGAGGATAGTGTTGTTTTGTGCTACGAGGTGTCATGGGGCTCACAGCCAATGGCGATGGAGAGTGCGACTAGCAAGACCCGCCCGTGTTAAGAGAAGTGTTCTTCAATTATAGCTTGGGATTTCAGGGCCATTGTTGTCAACATTTGTGTTTAGTGGGGTTTTTTTCTCACACACTCAACTCGCATCCTTTCTGCACTGATTTCTTCCTTTATTTTCATGCCCTTCCTGATGTGCCAATTCCACATAACATGGTTCATGGCATTTTGTTCCCACGAGTCCACTTAAACACCTGTATCATTCATGTCCCGTTTTGCACACATCTTTATAGCATAGTAGAGGTCGGCCTGCACGTCTTCTACATATTGTTCATTCACCATAGAGGATGTTGTTAGAGACTTTCCCATCCTCCATTGCTCAGATATGGTTCAACAACCCTAGCCTTCGTAGACTGAGCACTGAGAAAACTGTTGTGATAACCACATGTAAAAAAAAAAAAAAAAAAGTAAAGAGCCCTTTTTGACGTCTTTCATGCGTATTGGGTATATTGTTTGTTTGTTTGTTTTAGTATCCAGAAGCCATGAGTTGTTAACCCTTAGGTTTCCATTGTAAATACCGTAAATCTGGGAGAAAATGTGGCTTTCCTGCCTACCCCCGGGATTGAACCCCGACCACAAGGAGTTCGTCACCCGGTCACCGCGCAATCCGGTTTAACCAATTACGCTAGAGAGCCGGGCTGTGTTGGGTATATATGGCTAGACCTATAGTTTATAGACCAAACAGCACTTGGTGGGTGATGTGGACAACATCACACCGACCGCCTTTACTTCCAAGGACTGCACCTAGTACCCACTTAAGGCTGAGAGCCGAAATCATTTTTGAAAAAAAAGTCCGACCCCCCCGTCAGGAACCGAACCCACGACCTTCCGATCTGCAAAACTTTTCTTTGTTGCGTTGCTTTTTTTTTTTTTTTTTTCACTTTAAAATTTGCCACGGCGCCCTAACCAAAATAAAAGTATGACTATTCGTATGTAAGAGACCGAACACATAAAACTCATGTATCTTCGAATATTTCGCGGCGCCCCTGTGAAGAGGTCGCGGCTCCCCGGAACGCTGAGGGGCAGAGTTTGGGAAGCACTGTCATAGAGAATGGCGCCAATGGATCTAAATAACATGGAGTCGCACGATTTTCAGGCCGAAAATCAGGATGACTGTGTTTGAATGAATGTCGAATGAAAGGCTAAAAATTAAAGTCGAGAAGATCGACTTCATTGCACTGAGTTTTATCTTATATGTCTTAGTCTCTCTCCGCAGAATGGCTAGCCGCCTGTCGAGAGCGCCGTGCAGAGAACGACCTCTTTAGCTCCGGCGATGATCCCCAGTGATCTCTGTAAAATTAAACTCGTGCACTGAATAGCGTAGCCGTGTAACGAACCCACGACCTTTAGAGCGCAAAGTGAATGGCTTGACTACTTCGCAACAGTGATCCCCTTAGTGGTCGAATTTGGTTCATGAAGAAATATAGATTTCTGTGCATTTATTTTTACAAAAATATCTTGTCTTTCTCCCTGACCGGCTAGTTGCAAGCAAAGAGCGTCGCAATAAAAGCACCAACACCGTAGCTCCACTGACGATCCCAGGAGTCGTAATTATTGTACTCGTGGAATCGACGATTCATGCGTGAAACGAACCCACGAACTTCAAGGGCGAGGCAAAAGCTTTTGCTCCTGTCGCTAAACCACATGATGAGGATGATAGTGGTAAATGTAATAATAGAAACTGCTTGTGTCTGCTGATTTCAGTTTCGACAGAAAAAAGGCAGACTAATGATAGATTCAGTACAACTTGATGACGCCACAGACTACACATGTATGGCAAAGAACAAGCTAGGAAGTCTGAACTATACGTATGTTATTAAAGTCTTAGGTAAGTATACGTCTCTTATGTATTGCACGTCGCAGTGTCGTTTTAAGATCTGTGAACAAGATGTGCAAAAAAAATTGTCAAGAAAAAAAAATGGGTACAGAAATAGACGAACAAGCAAGACTTTTCTTTAGAGTTTGCAACTGGTGAACGCGAAGAAGATCCACAGTTATAGGGTTCAAATCCAAACTTCAATATGTTGATGCCGTAGCTGCATTACGGATGAGGGGTGGGTAGGGGGGTGGGTGCTGGTGGAGGGAGATAGACCCGCTGCACTTTAACAAAAATGTCGTAACAGTCTACTAAATGGGGTGTTCCCTTCAAAGTCTCATAAATAAACAGAGGGGGAACACTTGAGGCCGTATACAAATATTAAATGTTCTAAACAGACAATGTATCAATGGGCACTCATAGACAGAAGTACAAAGATAGAAGAACACACTAGACGTTCTTTCAGAGCTGAAGTACATCTTCCTAAGGCGAAGAAGCAACAGTCTGCACTCAAATTAGCCAGATCTGTATTGTAAAGCGGATCTGCACGTAAAACTGCACTTGGAGATTTCCCCCCTCCCCCCCCCCCCCCTTTTTCCCCCCAAATATTGACCTTGACTCCCAGGACCACCCAACCTTAAATGTGCACCGGGTCATCATCATCATCATCAGTTTCCACTTCTGCCTGTAAGCTTTGACCGTATCACACATCAAGTGCTAATTGGTCTATAAACATATACATGGCTCTGGCACTTCATGCAGAGTGTGTCAAAATTTTAGAAATTGTCCTTTACTTTACATAATACCTTCTTATCATCGCCGGCTTGGCCATAGACATAGTTTACTGTTGTGGGGGTTTCCCTTATTGTCTTTCGATTTCGTTCTTCGTCTACTTCCTGCTGTACGCTTCTCTTCTCTTTTGGTGCATGACATTTCACGAAAACATGTCCAACCAAATGACAAGTAGAACCAGTCAGGTCTCCCTTATCACAAACATAAACGACAAGCAATCATTGTAGGTAGAGAGCCCTTATCAGTACCTTACATGGGTATTCAATACTGAAGGTTAGTTGCGTATCCTTTACAGGACGTTGCAGAACCAACCCCAGCAGCCCCTGGCTGTTGTGGGGTTTACGTCCAGTAGTTTGCCATTTCTTCCTGGACGGTCGGCCCCCTGATACCACTGACGAAAGCAACGCAAGGCGCATAGCACGCAGCTGGGATCGAACACGGCACCCCGGCATTACGAAGCGTTCTCATCGACTTAGCCGCGGAGCCGACTATTTACAGTACTACAAAACCACAAACATGAACAATAATTTTATTTTCTTTAATTGCTTAACTGAGAGGAATCGCAAATCGGTCCGGCCAGTTAAATCTATGATACATGTGTGATCACAGGAAATACTAACCAGAAAAGCTGTGAAAGGTACGGCCGTAACTCAGAAATGGTACATAAAACTGTGTTGGATGTGAAGTCCTATTGAGAACTGGAGACCATTTATATGCCATGTATAGTCTGACGTTGCAGGGCATTTTTTTTAAAGCCGTATCACCTGTATATCCACAGAAAACATGCCATTAAATGATATAGACGTGGAGGACAGACCAGAGAACCAGACCGCCCATGTGGGTGACACCGTTATCTTCATGTGCAGATCTCACGACTGGCCCAAACCACGAGTCCACTGGGCCAGAAAAACCAACAATAAACATCTTATAGAGGCTATAGATGTAAGTCAGTTAGTCTGTCTGTATGTGTGTCTTTGTCGGACTGCATTCTTTCTATTGTACTATGTTTATCTGCTTGGATTTTATGTATTCTTCTTCTTTCGTTCGCCTGAAATAAGTTGTCTGTATCAGTAGTTTTGTTTCTTGTATACATTTCACTGTCTTTTTTATTTCATTCAGTTGTCGGTAGAGCTTACGTTCCACTGTTGTTCTTTCTTGCCAAAAGGTTTGACTTAATGTGTCGTATACGGTGCAATCCTGGAGTACATGTTCTACTGTCTGTTGCAACTTTCCACAGGCGCACATGGCTGCTACGCCTATCTTGAATTTTGTGTAATGTGGTTGCGTAATCGGTTGTGCCCTTGTCTGAGTTTAAAGATGAATTGTTCTGCTATGTCCATAATAGAATCGTTTTTATGTATATTTGCTGCATTCGATGTGCCTTTTTGTCGGTATAATTGCTACATCAATGTGCCTTTTTGTCGGTATAATTGCTACATCGATGTGCCTTTTTGTCGGTATAATTGCTACATCGATGTGCCTTTTTGTCGTATAATTGCTACATCGATGTGCTTTTTTGTCGGTATAATTGCTACATCGTTGTGCCTTTTTATCGGTATAATTGCTACATCGATGTGCCTTTTTATCGGTATAATTGCTACATCAATGTGCCTTTTTATCGGTATAATTGCTACATCGATGTGCCTTTTTATCGGTATAACTGTTACATCTATGTGCTTTTTTGTCGGTATAATTGCTACATCGATGTGCCTTTTTATCGGTATAATTGCTACATCAATGTGCCTTTTTGTCGGTATAATTGCTACATCGATGTGCCTTTTTATCGGTATAATTGCTACATCGATGTGCCTTTTTGTCGGTATAATTGCTACATCAATGTGCCTTTTTGTCGGTATAATTGCTACATCGATGTGCCTTTTTGTGGGTATAATTGCTACATCGATGTGCCTTTTTGTCGGTATAATTGCTACATCCATGTGCCTGTTTGTCTGTATAATTGCTACATCGATGTGGCTGTTTGCATTTTATTTGCATCGATGTCCCTGAATATCAGTATAATTGCTACATCGATGTTGCTGTTTGTATAATTGCTACATTGATGTGCCTGTTTGTCTGTATTTTCGTTGCGTCGATGTCCCTGTTTGTCAGTATAATTGCTACATCGATATGGCTGTTTGTCTGTATCATTGCTACATTGATGTGGCTGTTTGTCTGTATAATTGCTACATTGATGTCCCTGTTTGTCTGTATTTTTGTTACGTCGATGTGCCTGTTTGTCAGTATAATTGCTACATTGATGTGCCTTTTTGTCGGTATAATTGCTACATCGAAGTGCCTGTTTGTCAGTATAATTGCTACATCGATGTGCCTGTTTGTCAGTATAATTGCTACATCAATGTGCCTGTGTGTCAGTATAATTGTTACATTGATGTGCCTGTTTGTCAGTATAATTGCTACATCGATGTGGCTGTTTGTCAGTATAATTGCTACATTGATGTGCCTGATTGTCGGTATAATTGCTACATCGATGTGCCTGTTTGTCGGTATAATTGCTACATCGATGTGCCTGTTTGTCAGTATAATTGCTACATCAATGTGCCTGTTTGTTGTATCTTTGTTACGTCAATGTCCGTTTGTCTGTATTTTTGTTACGTCGATGTGCCTGTTTGTCGGTATAATTGCTACATTGATGTGCCTGTTTGTATATTTGCTATATTTGGATGTCTATTTGTCTGAATTTTTGCTACACCAGTGTGCCTTTTTTATCTGTACATTTGCTACATCGGTTGGCCCGTTTGTCTACACATTTGCTACATTTGGGTGCCTAGTTTGTCTGTATTTATATATCTTTTAGTTGACACCTTACTGTCTCTTCAAATGAAAGTGTTCCACAGCACAAACACCGGGCAGTATTATAGGGACCATATGTAGCCCATTCAGAATGATTCCTCACTTCCAGAGGGACACACGGTCACAGCCAAACCTTAAGCATTTTGAAACGTCTATTGAAAATGATTCTTTGAGTCCGACCCAAGTATTCAACACCTGGCAGTTGTGTCATTCTTCATGACAGTACACCGGCTCACCGGGTGGTAGCTGTACAGGAATTGTTTGCCAAAAATCAAGTTTGGTTAATTGGTTGGTTAATTCCAAAGGACAGGTCAGGTCACGTATGTACCTTTGGACTAAATCAAGCCGCAGGAGATTCCAGATCAAAAGGAAGGAGCTCTGTCTGTCCGCCTGTTGGAGCTTCTTCCTCGACCAGCTGCCCCCCCCCCCCCCCCCAGGCTAGGGACCAGGTCTGACTTATCACAACATTAGGTTTTCAGGCTGTTTCTTCTTCTTTCTAGATACTTTACTTATTCCATAAATCTCGGGCTGCCCCAGCGAGGATCTCCAGGAATGTTCTAAACACCTACATGTCCTAAACTAAAGAACAAATACGAAGTAGCCACGATAACTGTGAACAGTTTCACAATTACGCCAAGAATATCCCTTTTGACGAAAGGCAATGTCAGATGTAACAGAACAGCTAACAGAAGAAAGGTGAATGCAGAAATGTGGCAAACATCACATTGCAAGTTGTTTATAAACTTCCTACTGTTTATAAACAGTTTATAAGTGTCCTAGACTAAACAATAAAAGGGCATCTAAACAAAGTCCTGAGTAACGGATTTCGATTTCTTTTAACCTTTGCCGGTTGCGCCAACATATGTATACCTGATTTGATAATTTGAGTGAAACTGACATGTTTCTGTAGCTATAAATGCTATCGCGTCTATTGTCAAATTATAATTATTATTTTATTATCATCTTTGCCAGGTTTCTTTCCCATCGCCAGCGAAAGAATGGTTACACAGAACACCAGTTAAAACATAAGCAAACCCTAATGGCTGTTTAAATGAAAACTGTACGAATTGAGGGCTGGTACTTTTGCCTTCCATCCCTGAGCTCTGACAAATTGTTCTGGTTATTCGGAATTCTGGTGCAGAACTTTGATATCTACACTATCCGACAGAAAAGTAATGAGACTGATTTTGTTTTGGCCAAGACAAAAATGCCATATAAGAAAGCAAGGGATAAAATCCAAAGAGGCAACCTTCATCTATGATCTGGCAACTTTTCATCGCCGCCCGATACAACAAATAACAATTTTGCTATTTCAGCTTTCATAATAGATGCAAATATGCATAGTTTTGCTATTTCAACTTTCATATTAGATGCCAATATACATAGTTTTGCTATTTCATCTTTCATAATAGATGCGAATATACAGTTTTGCTATTTCAGCTTTCATGATAGATGCCAATATACATAGTTTGGGTATTTCAGCTTTCCAGTAGAGATCCCGGGTACATAGTATTAATATTCAATCGAGGACAAACAACCTGGTGAGGAATGGATACAAGTGATAACAGAGTTGGCAATGTCTTTTTCAGTCTGCATAAACAACAAGACACGTTGGTGGCTGAGGCAAAAGTGTAAGCCTAATTCTTGCAAATTCTACTGACGGGGGTGCAGTTATCTACACTTACAGATCCCTCATTCGACAGGTACAAAGTTCATGGGCTTTCGCAGTTCTGACTCAAGGAAAAACTGTAAAAGAAGAAAGTAGAGATTTTGCCTCAACTATACAACTATGGAGGTGATGGCGGTAACAAATCTACTGATGTGGCTAGAGACACGGCAATTTTCCTATGTGTGCTTTCTAAAGTGATTCAGTGAGAATGCTTAAAAAGATAGAGACAGGAAGGATTCGAAGAAAATGGTTTGAGTCGCTGACGAAATCTCGTCTGAAAGGAATTAGTCTCCTTTTTGTGCCAGGACACTGGGGTAAGAGGGTATGAACGAGTGGATTGGCTTGCTGGCAGCGCCACGGTAGGTACAGGAAAATCAATGGACCGAGCCGACATTCCCAATGCTCTCAAGGAGGCAGCCTCAACTATACAACTATGGAGGTGATGGCGGTAACAAATCTACTGATGTGGCTAGAGACACGGCAATTTTCCTATGTGTGCTTTCTAAAGTGATTCAGTGAGAATGCTTAAAAAGATAGAGACAGGAAGGATTCGAAGAAAATGGTTTGAGTCGCTGACGAAATCTCGTCTGAAAGGAATTAGTCTCCTTTTTGTGCCAGGACACTGGGGTAAGAGGGTATGAACGAGTGGATTGGCTTGCTGGCAGCGCCACGGTAGGTACAGGAAAATCAATGGACCGAGCCGACATTCCCAATGCTCTCAAGGAGGCAGTATGAGAAGATGATTCAGGGGATGACCTTGAATCGACAACACTCAAAAGACTACAAGAACTTCTGGTCAAAAAGATGTTTCGCCAAACATGAACAATATACAGGTAGCCAAAAAAAAAAAAAAAAAAAAAGAATATTAAACCAACACAGAATTGATGTAATCATTGGCCACACGTTGGGGGATATACTGAAGATGGGATCTGTGCACATATGGGTTTGTCCGATGTGCAGTGAGGCTAATCTTTCGATTACCTATTAACTAATTATTGTGATAAATTGTTTCGTTATTTCAGACATCCAGTACAGAGCCTGATGTTTTAGTTATACACAACGTTACAAAAAACGACACTGGAAAATATATTTGTTTCATCAGTAATGATATTGTACAGAAAGAGTTTACAGCCACTCTTACAGTTATAGAGGAAGGTAAGTTCATGTTGTCGTTCTTCATCCTCTTCTTCTTCTTTTTCTCCTTTTTTTTCTACTCTTCCTCCTCCTTCTTCTCCTCCTCATCCTCCTCCTCTTTCTTCTTCTTCTTTTTTTTTCTTCTTCTTCTTCTTCTTCTTCTTCTTCTTCTTCTTCTTCTTCTTCTTCTTCTTCTTCTTCTTCTTCTTCTTCTTCTTCTTCTTCTTCTTTCTTCTTCTTCTTCTTCTTCTTCTTCTTCTTCTTCTTCTTCTTCTTCTTCTTCTTCTTCTTCTTCTTCTTCTTCTTCTTCTTCTTCTTCTTCTTCTTCTTCTTCTTCTTCTTCTTCTTCTTCTTCTTCTTCTTCTTCTTCTTCACCTCCCCCTCCTTCTTTTTCTTCTTCTTCTTCTTCTTTTCTTCTTCTTCTTCTTCTTCTTCTTCTTCTTTCTTCTTCTTCTTCTTCTTCTTCTTCTTCTTCTTCTTCTTTTCTTCTTCTTCTTCTTCTTCTTCTTTTCTTTTCTTTTTTTTGTTCTTGTTCTTGTTCTTGTTCTTGTTCTTGTTCTTGGTATTCTTCTTCTTCTCTTCTTCTTCTTCTTCTTCTTCTTCTTCTTCTTCTTCTTCTTCTTCTTCTTCTTCTTCTTCTTCTTCTTCTTCTTCTTCTTCTTCTTCTTCTTCTTCTTCTTCTTCTTCTTCTTCTTCTTCTTCTTCTTCTTCTTCTTCTTCTTCTTTTCTTTTTTTTTCTTCTTGTTCTTGTTCTTGTTCTTTTTCTTGTTCTTCTTGTTCTTCTTCTTCTTCTCCTTCTGCTTCTTCTTCTTCTTCTTCTTCTTCTTTTTCTTCTTCTTTTTTTTTTAATTCTTGTTCTTCTTGTTCTTTTTGTACTTCTTCTTCTTCTTGTTCTTCGTGTTCTTCTTCTTGTTCTTCTTCTTGTTCTTCTTGTTCTTCTTCTTGTTCTTCTTCTTCTTCTTCTTCTTCTTCTTCTTCTTCAACATCATCTTCTTCTTCTTCTGCTTTGTCGTCTTCCTATTCGTCATCTTCTTCATCGACGTAGTCGTCTAGAATTTGTTTAGCTCTCTCCTATAATTTAGCATTAGTGATTCTATCATACCATTTAATTTCCTATTTTCTCACATTTAGGATTATAGTAAAGGTATATTTTTAGCCTAAAATGTACGGCCCAGTTTGGAGTTAGTAAAGCAAGATTCTGGTGCTGTTGCCTTGATTACAAGTAGTCTGACTATGGATTTCATAGCAGCAACCAAAGCAGTAGCCTGACTGGTGACTCAAACGTGAATCCGAGCATGTATTCTCTGTAACTCAATGAGCATGCTGAGGAAAATAGAAAGTGGCTGGGTCTCAAGACAGTGGCTGGGTCTCAAGACAGTGGCTGGGTCTCAAGACAGTGGCTGGGTCTAAAGACAGTGGCTGGGTCTCAAGACAGTGGCTGGGTCTCAAGACAGTGGCTGGGTCTCAAGACAGTGGCTGGGTCTCAAGACAGTGGCTGGGTCCCAAGACAGTGGCTGGGTCTCAAGACAGTGGCTGGGTCCCAAGACAGTGGCTGGGATCCCAGAGGCGGTCGGGGTTGATAAAGTCAGTCTCAAATTTGTGCCAGGGCACACAGGTGGGCAAGGAAATAAGCAAGCTGATAGGTCTGCAGTTGGAGCTACCATGGAGGGCAGACGTGCCATGGACCAGGCTTATATACTAAATGATTTAGACGTTTGCGAGAACCAGATGATGACTGAATCTGCAACCATGACAAGAACAGCATGGTGAAAGGCGAGTGGCTAGACAAGAGTACTATGCGGGAAGCCAAAGAAGAATAAGAAACCAACACAGAACTGGTGTCTTGAGCCGCTACACGCCGCAGGATTTACTGAAGAGGGGATCTGAGCAGTTATGTAATGAATGGTTCGATGTGAAATGAAGATAATCTGTCGACTAACTAACTTTTAACATAAAATGAAACATCGTTCAGTTTTTTAACTGTAATAACTACAACTAAATATATGTCGTCAATCAATCTGATCCCGTCTCTTTCCATGTAGTTCTTGAGAGCAATCTACTATCAGCATGTTTTCTATTGCCATTGGCTTATTGCAGTGGCGGCGATCTAACGTGCCGCGATCGAAACCCACTGCTGGCTGCGTGGATTTGTATCATGGTATGGGACGTCGCAGGTCGACCCAGCCTAAAATGGGTACCAGGATGGATATCCTGGGGAAGTAAAGGCAGCCGGCGTAATGTTGACCGCGTGTGATGTTCACCAAATGACCCACCGAACGCTGATTGGTCTGAAAATTTACGTCAAACCCTATATGCTCAGTACTCCTCAAGGCATTGTTTCCTGGGAAGTAAAGGCGGTCACATCACTCGCAGAGCTCCGATTGGTCTATTAAATAAAGGTCTATCACAAAATTTCCAGTTCATCTGAACGCGGGGAGTAGCTAGACGCTCGCGTGCGGATCGAAAAGTCGTGGGTTCGCTCCCTGGCGGTGCCGGACTTTTTCAAAAAGACGTTGGCTCTCAGGTCGACCCAGTCTTGAGTGGGTACCGGGTACAGTCCGGGAAAGTAAAGGCGGCCGGCATGATGCTGACCACATCACCCATCCTGTGCCGATTGGTCTATAAAAATATAAGTCTAGCCTTATATGCCCTTAACGCCTAAAGGCGTGGAAAGGGGTCCTTTATTTTATGAACCATGTTTCGTTATTTTCTTCAGGAGAAAGTTTGCCCTTTGAACCTCACTGCTCGCTTCATATAAGACGGGAGGTTTTGGTTGATCATGTGCATGGGTGCCGGTCGGCAGTACCTGTGGAAATACGATATTGTATGGGTTAGTACTTGTACACATATGTATGTCTGTTTGTTGTTGTTGTACATATACGAGTACACATCTTTGTACTCATGTGTGTCTGAAAGCCGCGGTTTCATATCGAGGCTCTTTATTTTTAATTCATCCCAAACAAAGGACAATCCAGAGTTTTCAGGTGAGTCCAATATTCTAAGGGTGTTATGGGTTGGGGTGAGGGTTGGGTTCCTTATTAGTCTCGACCGCCACAGATACACCGACTAACCCTACTCCTAACCCCAACTCTAACCCACAACACCCCTAGAATATTGGACCTTCCCGGAAACTCCGGGATTTCCTTTGTTTGGGAGTGAATTACAAATATAAAGTACCCATGTGGGTTAGATATTAGTAAGTAGTTAGCTAGTTGATTGGCTAGCTGGTTAGTTAGTTAATTTTTTAGTTAGCTAGTTAATTAGCTAGCTGGTTAGTAAGTTAGTTAGTTGTCGTTTAGTCAATTATAATAAATACACGCGTAAAAAAAGACATGGCTGTTGTTTGGTTAGCTGGTTAGTTACTTAATTATTTAGCTAGTTCGTTAATTAGTTTGCTAGTTAGTAAGTTAGTTAGTTGTCATTTAGTCAATTATAATAAATACACGCGTAAAAAAGACATGGCTGTTGCTTGGTTAGCTGGTTAGTTACTCAATTATTTAGCTAGTTCGCTAATTAGTTTGCTGGTTAGTAAGTTAGTTAGTTGTCATTTAGCCAATTATAATACATACGCCCGTAAAATAGACATGGCTGTTGAGCTCACACAGACATCCCAATATTTTCTCCGTGTCAGTGCTCTGGGCTGAATAAGAGTTGTACGTGACCCAGCGGTGAGCTAATGCCACCCGAGCCAGTACACGAACTCGTGTTTAGGTAGCTCCTAATTGTATCCGTCTGTGTGAGATGGTAATTACCTCCGTGTGTGTGTGTGTGCAAGTATTTATGCTCAAGTTGTTGCAAGGTGTAACTGGCCTTAAACGTGCAATGTTAATTTAGTAACTTGTGGCACTATTTTCTCGCACTTGTGTCTGCATTAATCGTGCCATTGCACACCGTTGCTATTTAAAAAAAATTTTCCCCGTGTTGGTTCCAGGGCCCCATTGTGGGGGAAAACAAGAATAGACCCACTGCCTCCCCAACAAGCATGTCGTAAGAGTCGACTAACTTAGGTCTTCCTTCGAAGTTAGAGTGCATCTGCCTGAGAGGCAGTGAAACAACAATCTGCATTCAGATAATTCAAATGTGTAACACGGATGTGCACGCAACACTCAGGTTCTGGAACCAGACTAAAGCTCAGAGGTGGACGAATACCCTGAACTTTCCGCCGGAGTTTTCAGCCAGTGAACGTGAAGAAGAAGTAGATGTTTCATATTCTTGTTATTACAGGCCTTTGTTATTTTAGATTACTTTCCCCTCAGTTTGCTGTTTTGTTTGTTAATTGTTGGTTGCTTGATTGCTTGGTTGTTTGCTTTCTTGGTTTATTGTTAGTTACTTGATTGTTTGGTTGGTTGTTTTGTTAATTAATTGTTAGTGACTGAATTGTTTGCTTGGTTGTTCTGGTAATTAATTATTAGTTACTGACTTGTTTGGTTGCTTGTTTTGTTAAATCATTGTTAGTTACTTGATTGCTGGGTTGGTCGCTTTGTTAGTTAATTGTTAGTAACTTGATTGTTTGTTTGGTCGTTTTTGTTAGTTAATTGTAAGTTACTTGATTGCCTGCTTGGACGTTTTGTTAGTTGTTAGTAACTGTTTTGGTTTGTTGTTTTGTTGAATAATTGTTAGTTACTTGATTGTTTGGTAGGTTGTTTTTGTTAGTTAATTGTTAGTTACTTGATTGTTCAGTTGGTTGTTTTGGTAGCTACATAATACAAGCTACATAGTAGTTGTTAGATTGTTTGGGTAGTTCCAAAGGCACGCTATTGTGGCAGCAGCCCTAACTGTCAGAAGTCCAGGACGCTCTCAAATTTGCCTAGAAAAACTTAAACAGGCAAAAATGCTGGGGTTGGCTCTGCAATGTCCTGCAAAGGATACGCAAACTAACTTATTTTTTAAATATACGTTGCAGGTTCGTGTGGGAGGAGTTACTACGTTCCACAACTGATGACCTCTGACGGGGTCAGGAAGAAAGCCTCAGCGTCTAGCTCTTCCGTCAGTCAAACATGCAAGTAAGATTCGTCGTTTGTGGGTAATGAATTACTGCTACTAAAAATTACTACGGCCACGAAGATAAACTAGACGATTATTACTGATACTATTGCTGGTGATACTACTTAGCTGCTCCTCCTACTGCTGCTCCGCTTCCTCCTCCTCCTCCTCCTCCTCCTCCTCCTCCTACTACTACTACTACTACTACTACTACTACTACTACTACTACTACTACTACTACTACTACTACTACTACTACTACTACTACTACTACTACTACTACTACTACTACTACTACTACTACTACTACTACTACTGCTGCTACGCTGTTGCTGCTGCTCCTCCTCCTTCTACTACTGCTGCTACTTCTACTACTACTAGTACTCTGCTGCTGCTCCTTCTCCTCCTTGTACTGCTACTACTACTACTAATACTACTACTACTACTACTACTACTACTACTACTACTACTACTACTACTACTACTACTACTACTACTACTACTACTACTACTACTACTACTACTACTACTACTACTACTACTACGCTGCTGCTCCTCCTCCTTCTACTACTACTAATACTACTACTAATACTACTACTATTACTACTACTACTACTACTTTGACAACAACAACAACAACAGCAACAACTACTACCACTACTACTACTACTACTACTACTACTACTACTACTACTACTACTACTACTACTACTACTACTACTACAACTACTACTACTACTACTACTACTACTACTACTACTACTACTACTACTACTATGATTACTACTACTTTTGCTCCTGCTGCTGCCGCCCCTCCTCCTCCTTCAGTCTAACAATATTGCCGGTACTCACCATAAAGTGTCTAACAATATTGCCGGTACTCACCATAAAGTGTCTTACAATATTGCCGGTACTCACCATAAAGTGTCTAACCATAGTGTCGGTACTCACCATAAAGTGTTTAACCATATTGCCGGTACTCACCATAAAGTGTTTAACAATATTGCCGGTACTCACCATAAAGTGTCTAACAATATTGCCGGTACTCACCATAAAGTGTCTAACCATAGTGTCGGTACTCACCATAAAGTGTTTAACCATATTGCCGGTACTCACCATAAAGTGTCTAACAATATTGTCGGTACTCACCATAAAGTGTCTAACCATAGTGCCGGGAAAAGGTGCCGGTGCTGATCTTCTTCTCATTGAATTTGTTTTTCTGATTCTTTATTGGTTTGTACTGCAGTGCCAGTTTTTTTCCAGGTGAGGAAGCCACAGGTCACTATGAAGGCTATGATGTGACACATAAGGAAGCCACAGGTCACTATGAAGGCTATGGTGTGACACATGAGAAAGCCACAGGTCACTATGAAGGCTACGATGTGACACATAAGGAAGCCACAGGTCACTATGAAGGCTATGGTGTGACACATGGGCAGATCACAGGTCACTGTAAAAGCCATGGTGTGACACATAAGGAAGCCACAGGTCACTATGAAAGCTACAATGTGACACATAAGGAAGCCACAGGTCACTATGAAGGCTATGGTGTGACACATGGGCAGATCACAGGTCACTGTGAAAGCTACGGTGTGACACATAAGGAAGCCACAGGTCACTATGAAGGCTTTGATGTGACACATAAGGAAGCCACAGGTCACTATGAAGGCTATGATGTGAAACATAAGGAAGCCACAGGTCACTATGAAAGCTACGATGTTACACATAAAGAAGCCACAGGTCAATATGAAGGCTTCGATGTGACACATAAGGAAGCCACAGGTCACTATGAAGGCTATGATGTGAAACATAGGGAAGCCACAGGTCACTATGAAGGCTATGATGTGACACATAAGGAAGCCACAGGTCACTATGAAGGCTATGATGTGAAACAAAAAGAAGCCACAGGTCACTATGAAGGCTACGATGTGACACATAAGGAAGCCACAGGTCACTATGAAGGCTATGATGTGACACATGAGGAAGCCACAGGTGACTAAAGGCTATGGTGTGACACATAAGGAAGCCAGAGTTCACTATGAAGGCTATGGTGTGACACATGAGGAAGCCACAGGTCACTATGAAGGCTATGGTGTGACACATGAAGATGCCACAGGTCACTATGAAGGCTATGTTGTGACACATAGAGGAAGCCACAGGTCACTATGAAGGCTATGTTGTGACACATAAGGAAGCCACAGGTCACTATGAAGGCTATGATGTGACACATGAGGAAGCCACAGGTCGCTATGAAGGCCATGGTGTGACACATGAGAAAGCCACAGGTCACTATGAAGGCTATGGTATGACACATGGGCAGACCACAGGTCACTATGAAAGCTATGATGTGACACATAAGGAAGCCACAGGTCACTATAAAGACTATGGTGTGACACATGGGCAGATCACAGGTCACTATGAAAGCTACGATTTGACACACAAGGAAGCCACAGGTCACTATGAAGGCTATGGTGTGACACATGGGCAAATCACAGGTCACTATGAAAGCTATGGTGTGACACATAAGGAAGCCACAGGTCACTATGAAAGCTACGATGTGACACATGAGGAAGCCACAGGTCACTATGAAGGCTATGGTGAGACACATAAGGAGGCCACAGGTCACTAAGGTGTGACACATGCACTCTAAAAATCTGTTCTACTTGGTTTCTACCATTAAGTCAACTGGTCTGGCTTTGAATCTCCCTGTTGCATGTAAAGAGCATGTCTGCAGCTAATGTTCCATATTCTGGGCTCTGTTCACCTGGGCAAAGCTCCTGATCTTGAACATTCCGTACATAACTGTGGAGCCAATGTGTCCAGTTCCTAATATAAATACAACAGTCTGTTGCTTTTGTGTAAGCGCAGCATATCGTGGATTTTCTGTCCAGGATCTTCGGGTGTGCGAAGCAATGAGCAAGCTGATATATTGGCTGCTACCAGTCTTCTGAATGGTGAGCTTCTTTATCATAAAGCAGAAGTGGTGACGGCAGTCTGGGATTAAGGGGACAGTGCAACAGAACGGACCATGTATCCATACATTGATAGACTACTTCAGCGAGGAATGAGCAGGTGTCTGAAAGATATTTAACACTGTGGACATTCAATCAGTTTGCAACCTGTTGCTGATGAAGGAGACAGTGTATGTGTGTGGGAATATCCCGACTGCAAGGATGTCAATTCTTGATTCATTCATTCATTCATTTCGGGTTTGTTGGTTGACTTCAGGATTACGTTTCGAATAATTTTTTCTGTAGGTTATATTGGCTGTCTTGATGTGAGTTTTATTTCCCACGTAAGTGCGTCTTGCAAATGGCTGTTCTGTATCGCTCTCAGTTTTTATAAATAGTCTGTTCGTTTCTTTCTCATAAAGTTGCAAAGGCTTCTTCGGTGAAGAATAGTTTGCTTGATCAGCTGTCCCAGTGAATTGGAATCGTCATCTTCATCGTGATTCTCCCCCATTTTAACTGTTACTTTTCTGGCCTTATTAAGCCTCAATGAAGACAAAGCTGTATGCTATGCAGTGTGATTTAGTTGTTTTTAGACTGCATCATATATGAAGGCTTTCTACCTCGTGGTATAGGTTTTTTGAGTGAATGATTAAAAAGTAGAAGAGGAAGAAGAAGAAGAAGAAGAAGAAGAAGAAGAAGAAGAAGAAGAAGAAGAAGAAGAAGAAGAAGAAGAAGAAGAAGAAGAAGAAGAAGAAGAAGAAGAAGAGAAGAAGAAGAAAAGAGAAGAAGAAGAAGAAAGAAGAAGAAGAAGAAGAAGAAGAAGAAGAAGAAGAAGAAGAAGAAGAAGAAGAAGAAGAAGAAGAAGAAGAAGAAGAAGAAGAAGAAGAAGAAGAAGAAGAAGAAGAAGAAGAAGAAGAAGAAGAAGAAGAAGAAGAAGAAGAAGAAGAAGAAGAAGAAGAAGAAGAAGAAGAAGAAGAAGAAGAAGAAGAAGAAGAAGAAGAAGAAGAAGAAGAAGAAGAAGAAGAAGAAGAAGAAGAAGAAGAAGAAGAAGAAGAAGAAGAAGAAGAAGAAGAAGAAGAAGCAGCAGCAGCAGCAGCAACAGGAGGAGGAGCAGCAGCAGCAGCAGGAGGAGGAGGAGGAGGAGCAGCAGCAGCAGCAAGAGGAGGAGCAGGAGGAGGAGGAGCAGCAGCAGGAGGAGGAGGAGGAGCAGGAGGAGGAGCAGGAGGAGGAGGAGCAGCAGCAGGAGGAGGAGGAGGAGCAGGAGGAGGAGGAGCAGCAGCAGGAGGAGGAGGAGGAGGAGCAGGAGGAGGAGGAGCAGCAGCAGGAGGAGGAGGAGGAGCAGGAGGAGGAGCAGGAGGAGGAGCAGGAGGAGGAGGAGCAGGAGGAGGAGGAGCAGGAGCAGGAGCAGAAAAAGAAGAAGCAGCAGCAGCAGCAGCAGCAGAGGTAGAAGAAGAACTATCTCTTTTTCTGTTTTACAGGTGTTGTGTGGGGATCATTGACGGACTGCGAATAGTGGAGCTGGACTGCCCACTAGGTGGCAGAAAAAGAGGATTTTACACCTTGCTCAGTGACTGCCAGTGTCAGAACTGTGGTGCTAGTGGTAAGTAGTGTTTAACTGTGCTGTGTTCTGATAAGTTATGTTTAACCGAATATAGTTGTTGTAGTTAGTGTTTAAATTAACAGTATTGTGATAAGTTATGTTGAACCTAATATAGTTGTTGTAGTTAGTGTTTAAATTAACAGTATTGTGATAAGTTATGTTAAACCTAATATAGTTGTTGTAGTTAGTGTTTAAATTAACAGTATTGTGATAAGTTATGTTAAACCTAATATAGTTGTTGTAGTTAGTGTTTAAATTAACAGTATTGTGATAAGTTATGTTGAACCTAATATAGTTGTTGTAGTTAGTGTTTAAAATAACAGTATTGTGATAAGTTATGTTGAACCTAATAAAACTGTGTGGTAAGTTATGTTTAACTTAACAATGTTGTGATAATTTATGTGTAACCTAATAAGACAGGGTTAGGTTGTGTTTAACATTGCTGTATAAGTAGAGTTAAATCTAAAAGCCATCTGGTAAGTTATATTTAACTTAATATTGTTTAGCAAAGACATGTTTAACCAACATAATTATGCTAAGCTATGTTTAACCTAATAAAAGCTCAGTTAGGTATGTTTCACCTGTGAGTGCTAGCATAAGTTATGTTTAACCTTGGAGCATTGGGGTGGGATAGTTTCACTGAAGAGTCCTACGGTAGGCTGTTTTTAATCTAGCAATAATTATTTTAATTTTTATTATTATTGCACATTTAGAAAGAAAAGAAAAAGGGGGGTTTTGCTGATCCATTTACAGAAATTATCCTGGTTTTAGTTTATCCATTTACAGAAGTTGCTCTGGTGTTTGTCTATCTATTTACAGAAATTATCCTGGTTTTAGTTTATCCATTTACAGAAGTTGCTCTGGTGTTTGTCTATCTATTTAGAGAAATTATCCTGGTTTCAGTTTATCCATTTACAGAAGATATCCTGGGTTTTGCTTATCCATTTACAGACATTATCCTGGTTTTAGCTCCTTTATTTACAGAAGTTACTCTGGGTTTTGCTTATCCATTTACAGTAATTATCCTGGTTTTAGTTTATCCATTTATAGAAGTTACTCTGGTGTTTGCCTGTCTATTTACAGAAATTATCCTGGTTTCAGTTTATCCATTTACAGAAATCCTGTGTTTTGCTTATCCATTTACAGTAATTATCCTGGTTTTAGTTTATCCATTTACAGAAGTTACTCTGGTTTTTGCTTATCCATTTATTGAAATTATCCTGGTTTTAATTTATCCATTTACAGAAGGTATCCTTGGTTTTGCTTATACATTTACAAAAAGTATCCTGGTTTTACCCTATTTTTTTTACAGAAGTTATCCTGATTTTACCTTATCTGTTTACCTTTGCTTATCCCTTTACAGGAGTTAATTTTTTAATCTATTCACAGAAGACCAGTCATCAAGTTCGAAGACGAAGACGTAAAAGAGACCACCTCTTTATTGATACAGTTTCTTCCTTGTCAATAGCCTGAAAAGTCATGTCATTTCAGCCCTTGCGCGCTGAATTCATAAAAAATGTCAGCATTATTAAGTGTTGAAATTATGAAACATTTCAGCATCACTTTGTGCGCTGATTTATGAAATATAAAGGTGTTAATTCACAGGCTGAATTTATGAAATATTTCAGCATAATATAATGTGGTGAATTCATGAAATATTTCAGCATCGGTTCATGCACTGAATTCATTAAATATTTCAGCATCAATACATGTGAATTCATGAACTGTTTCAGAATCCATTTATGTGCTGAATTGACTAAATTATTTGAGAATTTGTTTAATGCACTGAGTTACTGACATATTTAAGAATCAATCCATATAATGAATTCACATATTATTCATGAATTATTTCTTGTGCTGAATTCATTAAATATTTCAGCAATAATTCATGTGCTTACAAATAAAGCAACACAAGCACAACCTGGGAATTCATACTTTATGTATGGATGTTGTTAATTCATATTTCATGTATGGATATTGTTAATTCATACTTGATGTATGTATTTTTTTTTTTTTTTACAATCCAAATGTGGAAAATTTTCAAGATATACAGCCCATAGGAGCTATGTAGATCCGTTTCATACAAGAACAGTTCGCCAAAAAGAGGTCATTATTTTGTTGTGTATATTTTGACCATATTCAAAGACACAACATGACCTTGGCCGCCAGTTTAACACAGCCTACAATTTGTATCAGTTAAACTCCTGACCCACGAAGAGAACTGATTGCCCACATCAGAGAGAGAGACAATCTACATTATTTGGTTATGTGATGAGAAGGAGAAAACTGGAGTACATCGCGATGATAGCAAAGTTGTAGGGGAGGAGAGGCAGAGGGAGACCGAGAGAAAAAAGGCTGGATAGTTTGGCATCATGGCATGGAGGATCATCTGTGTCAGAGTTGATTAAAAGTACACGAGACAGAAGATTTTGGATAGACATGACTACCAACGCCACACGGCATGGACTCTAAGAAGAGAAAGTCCTGGGAAGTAAAGGCGGCTGGCATGATTTTGACTACAGTGCCAATCAAGTGCCACTCAGTTTATTTTTACAAATATTAGTCTAACATCATATACCTAAGGGACAGTTGCATAAAAAGTCATTTACAAGTTTATTTTAGTAGTTTAAATACTTTTAGAAAAATTATACTGGAGGGAAAATGTATAGGCGAAGGAGCAGGAAGTAGACAGTGATACAAGAGGGAGGATAATATCAGGAGTTTGTTGAAAACGTCATTCTCAGAGAGCGCGCAGTGCGGACGAGAGACGGTGATTGTTGGAGATGCATTACAACCAGCTTTCCTTGTGGAGATGGCAGCTGGCTGATTAGAGGGATCAGTGTCGCAAAGAAAATACAAATCAGTTATGTCATTTATTTACTAGCTGTAACTATATTTGTGGATACGCGGCACATTGTGAATTCTACATTTAACTGAAATCTTCTTGTTTTGTTGTCTCAGTTATGCCAGGTTGTGGTTTTCTGTAATTGTTTTGGGCTTCTCGGATGGCTTGGTTGATGGAATTGTCATTTTTTTTTTTTTTTTTTGCAGGTTTTATCTACACCATTTATCGACATTTTTCTTGGTCTTCCCCTCAGATGCTCTGCTGTCGGTCTAAAAAAAACACTCTTTTTTTTCCCCTTAGTAGCAATCAAATACACCACTGCCGGCTTGCTAGGCCCATCATTTGGCAGGACAAGGAAAAATCTGACCTGGTTGGTGCCGTCACCTCCCAGACGAGCCATTGCCCCGTTAGCCTGGAACCTCGCAGCTTCACTTTCCCGGCATGCACCATAAGGAGGTGGGGATGACCTGGCTGCTCTGCATGTCGTTGGCAAGCTACTTAATTTCACTTGTCACGTCTCGGAAGAAAACCAGCCAATATTACCACTGGTGGCTGAGAAAAAGTCCAAGGTAAACATTGAGAAAAGCATTATTACGAGAGGCAAACAAGGCTGGGCTGAACTCTGTGTCAGAAATTGAGAAAATTGCATGCAAAAGAGCCCGGGGTGGAGGAATCGACTGAGGGCGCCATGTCACGTCTAACGGCACACAAATGTTGATAATGGCTGCACTGCCAAGCGCTTTAGCACACCCTTACACGATATTGACCTAACTGAAATACATGATTAAATTTTTTTTTCATGTCATTATTGGAGTTCCATTTTGGTGGTAGGGGGGGGGGGGGATGGTTATAGGGTTAGAATAGCCCCTTCGCCAACAAGCATGTAGCAAAATGTGACTAATGATGGGGTATGCTAAAACAAAATTGTGTCGGTCTGAAAGACAGGTTGTAAACTGCAACACAACTTGCCAAAAGCCACTTAACGGATAATTGCAGAAGACATAAAATAACCACAAAATATCAGATATATAAAAACACACATTATCTGAAGAAAACAAATCTCTGAGAAACAAATCCCATCTATATGAGAGATATTTCTGAACGTGAAGGAGAACTGGCTCATAAACAGCATCCTTTCCTGAAAGCTAGGGTATTTTGGTCATGTCAAGCTCAATGGTGGTCTGGAGATGACAGTAGTGGAGGGTGAGGTTTTTGGAAAACGAAGCCAAGTCTGACATTTGTTAAGGTGCATACAGGACACTGAAGATGTATTGGCTATGAAAGTATATAGGGGTGGGGAGCTGGCTAGAGAAAGGGAGACTTTCAGGCTTGATGTTGAGAGAGCGACATTCTGTTAAGAACATGCTCATTGGTTGATTAATTGACTTATTGATTGATTGACTGACAGATTGATTGATTAATTGACTGATCAATTAATCGACTCGTTGGTTAATTGACTGCTCGATTATTTGACTGATTGAATGACTGATTGATTGATTGACTGACTGATTGATTAATTGGGTGATTGACTTATTGACTGACTGATTTATTGATTAATTAGCTGATTGATTATTCAACTCATTGATTAATTGACTGACCACTGATTGATTGATTGACTGGTTGATTTATTGACTGATTATTTGATTTAATAATTGACTGATTTATATAATTGATTGTTTGACTGATTGATTGATTAATTAATTGATTTACTGATTGATTGATTAATTTTTGACTTTTTGATTAATTTACTGATTTATTGAATAATTGATTGACCGACTGACTGGTTGATTAATTGACTGACTGATTGATTGATTGGCTGGCTGATTTATTGATTGACAGATTAACATGAGAGTTGAAAAAGAGAGAAGGTGTCAGTTTGGCATAATGACAAGAAGGAACTTATATATAAAGACAGATGGCTGAGGACAGACCTGATGACAATGCCACATGGCTGAGTCCGTAACAAGATGTGCAACAGACACTGAACAATGCACAGTTCTTGCATACAAACGACAAGAGAATATGTTTGTTTCTTCTTCTTTTCTTCGCATTCACTGGCTGTTAACTCCGTTAAACAGTTATAGTTGTTCGTTCACTTCCAGAACTTAAGTGTTGCGTGCGCATCCATTTTACAGATGTGGTTTGTTTGCGTGCA